CTCAAAAAAAAAAAAGGGAACCTATTGGCTCTCAGGGAGGGGCAGTCGAGTTTAGCAGCTAAAGGCTCGGTCTCTGCTTCAGAGAGGCGGGGTTCTAACTCCAGCTCAATCATTAACAGGCTTTGTGACCTTGGGCCAATTACACAGCTTTTCTGGGCCTCAGTTTCCTCATCAGTAAAAGGAGTGTGGCTGTGAGGTTTGTTTTTTGAGACAGGGTCTCATTCTATTGCCCAGGCTGGAGTACAATGTTGCCATCTCAGCTTACTGCAAACTGCGCCTCCTGGATTCAAGCAATTCTCCTTCCTCAGCCTCCTCAGTAGCTATGATTACAGGTGCCCACCACCACGCCTGGCTAATTTTTGTATTTTTAGTAGAGATGGGGTTTCACATATTAGCCAGGCTGGTCTCAAACTCTTGACCTCGGGTGATCCACCAGCCCGACCTGTCCCTACAAAAAATTTTAAAATTAGCTGCCAGGCATGGTGGCACATGCCTGTAGTCCCAGCTACTCAGGAGGCTTTGACTGGAGGACCCTTGAGCCCAGCAGTTTGAGGCTGCAGTGAGCTGTGATCATGCCACTGCACTTCCAGCGTGGGTGACAGACTGGGACTCTGTCTCAAAAAAGATAATTAAAGAGTTTTTTCAAAATGTGTACACCATATTATTCAAGCATTTAAATACTCAGGTTTTTCCCTTTTCCTCCCCAGACTATGGTTCCTTCTGTTGTAAAATTACATGAGTGGGGCCAGGCGCGGTGGCTCAAGCCTGTAATACCAGCACTTTGGGAGGCCGAGGCGGGTGGATCACGAGATCAAGAGATCGAGACCATCCTGGTCAACATGGTGAAACCCCGTCTCTACTAAAAATACAAAACATTAGCTGGGCATGGTGGCGCGTGCCTGTAATCCCAGCTACTCAGGAGGTTGAGGCAGGAGAATTGCCTGAACCCAGGAGGCGGAGGTTGCGGTGAGCCGAGATCGCGCCATTGCACTCCAGCCTGGGTAACAAGAGCGAAACTCCGTCTCAAAAATAAATAAATAAATAAATAAATAAATAAATAAATAAAATTACATGAGTGGATGCCAGGTGTGGTGGCTCATGCCTATAGTCTCAGCACTTTGAGAGGCTGAGATGGGCAGATCACTTGAACTCAGGAGTTCAAGCAGCCTGGGCAACACGGTGAAACCCTGTCTCTGTACCGAGAGGCTGAAGTGGGAGGATCACTTGAATACGGAAGGCAGAGGTTGCAGTAAGCCAAAATCGTGCCACTGCACTCCAGCCAGGGTGACAGAAAAGACCCTGTCTCAAAACAAACAAAATCGCCTAGTGTGGTGGCTTACACCTGTAATCCCAGCACTTTGGGAGACCAGCCTGACCAACAGGGAGAAACCCCATCTACTAAAAATTACAAAACTGGCACATGCCTGTAATCTTAGCTACTTGGGAAGCTAAGGCAGGGGAATCACTTGAACCTGGGAGGCGGAGGTAGAGGTGAGCCAAGATCAAACCATTGCACTCCAGCCTGGGCAACAGGAGTGAAACTGCGTCTCAAAAAAAAAAAACGAGAAAAAATTACATGAGTCGGCTGGTCATGGTGGCTCACGCCTGTAATCCAAGCACTTTGGAGGACAAGGCGGGCAGATCACCTGAGGTCGGGAGTTCAAGACCAGCCTGACCAACATGGTGAAACCCCGTCTTTTTTTTTTTTTTTTGAGACGGAGTTTCACTCTTGTTACCCAGGCTGGAGTGCAATGGCGCGATCTCGGCTCACTGCAACCTCCACCTCCTGGGTTCAGGCAATTCTCCTGCCTCAACCTCCTGAGTAGCTGGGATTACAGGCACGCGCCACCATGCCCAGCTAATGTTTTGTATTTTTAGTAGAGACGGGGTTTCACGATGTTGACCAGGATGGTCTCGATCTCTTGACCTCGTGATCCACCCGCCTCGGCCTCCCAAAGTGCTGGTATTACAGGCTTGAGCCACCGTGCCTGGCGAAACCCCGTCTTTTAAAAAATAAATAATAAAAAAATAAATAAAAAATTACATGAGTCAACACACAGATGTGTGTCCATATACATGCACTGCACACACATATATGCAAACATTAGGGACCACACACACACAAACCCGAAGATTGGTTCACAGAATAACCCCACGAGTCCTCTTTTCTCTTCCCCACACCGCTGATAAACAGAAACACAAATACTGGAAGCAAAATTGGGGAACACTGGAATCATCACTGAAAATGCAAATAGTTTCAGCATTTTTGATCTGGGGGGTTGGCAGGGGAGTACTCTGCTGGGAAGGGGCCCGCATCTAGGAGGAAAAAGGCCAGGGAAAGGAACTGAGGTCCACAGAGGTTTGAGAGGTGTCCTTCCCTTCAGCCCAAAGATCCCGGACAGCAAGCCCCAGGCGCTGCCACTGTGATGTCACAGGAGGAGGGTGCCGCCCCCTCCAGGTCAGGTCCGTTCCCTTTGTCTTCCTCACTGAGGTCACGCGGATTTTTGCATATTTAGAGAATTTGCGGTGTGAGGTCACCCTAATGGGCGGGTCTGTGATATCACAAAGGACAAAGAGACCAACTGGTTTGGGAGAAGCTGGTGCTTTGAACCCTACCCCCTTGTCTTGCAGAAACCCGAAATGAGTCTATTCTCAAATTCAGGCTGGAAGTCCATTCTGTGCGCTCAGGGAGCTCGCGCTCAACACCTATCATTCCTCTCCTCCAGTCCTCGGGCTTCACTAGAAAATGGGGAGGCGGTGGTGGGAGGATAGCGTGAGTCCAGGAGTTCAAGACCAGTCTGGGTAACATGGTGAGACACTGTCTCTACGGGGAGACCACACACACACGCACACACACACACACACACACACACGGTGAGACACTGTCTCTACGGGGCGACACACACACACACTAGCCGGGCGTGGTGGTGTGTGCCTGTAGTTCCGGCTAATCGAGAGGTTGAGGTGGATCAATTGACCCAGGGAGGTGGAAGCTGCAGTGAGCCATGATGGTACCGCTGCTCTCCAGCCTGGGCGAGTGAGACCCTGTAATTACAGGCTCATACCTGTAATCCCAGCACTTTGGGTGGCCAAGGAGGGAGGATCACTTGAGGTCAGGAGTTCCAGACCAGCCTGCAACATGGCAAAACCCCGTCTCTACCAAAAATATAAAAACTAGCCGAGCATGGTGGCACAACCATGTAGTCCCAGCTACTCGGGAGACTGAGGCAGGAGAATAGCTTGAACCTGGGAGGCAGAGGTTGCGGTGAGCCGAGATCACGCCACTCACTGCACTCCAGCCTGGTGACATAGCAAGACTGCGTCTCAAAAAATAAAAAATAAAAAAACAAATAATAATAATAATAAATAAAAATTAGCCGGGTGCAGTGGCTCATGCCTGTAATCCCAGCACTTTGGGAGGACGAGGCGGATGGATCACCTGAGGTCGGGAGTTTGAGACCAGCCTGACCAGCATGGAGAAACCCCTTCTCTACTAAAAATACAAAAAATTATCCAGGCGTGGTGGCGCATGCCTGTAACCCCAGCTACTTGGGAGGCTGAGGCAGGAGAATAGCTTGAACCTGGGAGGCGGAGGTTGCGGTGAGCAGAGATGGCGCCACTTGCACTCCAGCCTGGGTGACTGAGTGAGACTCTGTCTCAAATAAATAAGAAAGAAAAGAAAGTAAACTGAGGAGATGAAAGTGGCAGAGCCTTCTTCGTGGTGAGGACGTTGGAGTGGGAACTTAGGGAGGTGTGTGGGGTCTTCCGGGAAGCTCCTATACCTGATCAGTTTTCTGCAAAATGGGCGGAACCACGTGGCTCTGGAAGTAGCTGCGGGCGTGGTAGTCCTGCTGCGCGTTGTAGGGAGGAATCGCGGACCACATCTTGGGCTTAGAGCGTCCGTAAGCGCGGGCAGTGGTGCTCACAGCCACCCCGTCCAAGATAAAGCCTTTCTCCAGTCGCAGGCGACACTCGCACAGATCCGCCATCCCAACCACTGCAGCCTCGGAGGGCCTTTCTGGTGGGGGATGAGGACCCTAGCTGGGGACCCCTATGCGCATTGTTACGTGATGACAAGGACCCCTATGACACAAACCCTATTGTCTCCGCTCACCCCAGGTTGACCGGTGGGCCTTTAAGGCAGTGGGGGAAGTTGCTTGGCCCCCAGAGGACGTTGACCAGAGACTGACTATGCAAGAGGACTTGGAAAGTGAAGGGGAGGAGCCTGGATAACTGATTGTAGGCAGTTTGAGTGCGGTTAAGTCCAGCTCCCCCAGCTATCCTTTAAGGTGAGCATTCTCTTTTCCCACGGTATTACCTGCTGTTTCCTCAGCTCCGTTTTGTTGAAAAGCTTGTACACGGAATTGATCAGAAAGTTCAGATCGCCGGGTGCGGTGGCTCATGCCTGTAGTCCCGGCACTTTGGGAGGCCGAGGCGGCAGGATTGCGAGGTCAGGAGACCGAGACCAACCTGGCCAACATGGTGAAACCCCGTCTCTACTAAAAATACAAAAAAATAGCCGGGCCTGGTGGTGTGTGCCTGTAGTCCCAGCTACTTGGGAAGCTGAGGCAGGAGAATCGCTTGAACCTGGGAGGCGGAAGTTGCAGTGAGCCAAAAAACCGCGCCTTTGCACCACAGTCTGGCGACAGAGGGAGACTGTCTCAAAAAAATAAATAAATAAATAAATGAAAGAAAGAAAAAAAAGAAAAGAAAGTTCAGATCGCACCTACTTCCAATTCTCATTTTACAGAGCTAGAAGTTGAACCTTACAAAGCTTCCCTAGGCCGAGTGCGTTGGCTCACACCAGTAACCCCACCATTTTGGGAGAACGGGGCGTTGGGGGTGGCGGAGATCGCTTGAGCCCAGGAGTTTGAAGGCCAGCCTGGGCAATACGGCGGAACCCCGTCTCTGCGAAATAAATGAATACTTAGCCGAGTGCGGTGGGGCGCACCTGTGGACCCAGCTGCACTACAGGCTGAGCCATGGAATTCAAGACTGCAGTGAGCCATGATCGTGCCACACTTCAGCCTGGATGAGAGAAAGGGACCCTAACGAGAGAGAGAGAGAGAGAGAGAGAGACAGAGAGAGAAAAGAGGTTCCCAAATCCAGTTAGCTGACTTCCGGTCAGTCCACTTAACAATTCTCCTGCCCCACCCCAATTATCATTATTTATTTATTATTTGAGAGGGAGTTTTGCTCTGTCGCCCAGGTTGGAGTTGCAGTGGGGCAATCTTGGCTCGCTGCAAACTCCACCTCCTGGGTTCAAGTGGTTCTCCTGCCTCAGCCTCCCAAGTAGCTGAGATTACAGGCACCCGCCACCATGCCTGGATAATTTTTGTATTTTAGTAGAGATGGGGTTTCACCTAATTGATCAGGCTGGTCTTGAACTACTGACCTCAAATGATCAGCCCACCTCTGCCTCCCAAAGTGCTGGAGGTGGGCTGATATTCTTTTTTTTTTTTTTTTTTGAGACGGAGTTTCGCTCTTGTTACCCAGGCTGGAGTGCAATGGCGCGATCTCGGCTCACCGCAACCTCCGCCTCCCGGGTTCAGGCAATTCTCCTGCCCCAGCCTCCTGAGTCGCTGGGATTACAGGCACGCACCACCATGCCCAGCTAATTTTTTGTATTTTTAGTAGGGACGGGGTTTCACCATGTTGACCAGGATGGTCTCCATCTCTTGACCTTGTGATCCACCCGCCTCGGCCTCCCAAAGTGCTGGGATTACAGGCTTGAGCCACCGTGCCAAGCCTGATATTCTTTATATATATAAAATATTTAATTTTAATTGAGATAGAGTCTCACTCTGTCACCCAGGCTGGAATGCAGTAGTGTGATCTTGGCTCACTGTAACCTCTGCCTCCCGGGTTCAAGCAATTCTCCTGCTTCAGCCTCCCAAGTAGCTGAGATTACATGTGTGTGTC